TTCAGTTCACCATGGAGATGGAAAGAGATAGCCACCTTACCTTCTTTGACATAGATATTTAAAGAAAACCTGGTGGCACTTCCAGCTTTAAAAGTGCACCATAAATCTACTTATAAGAAGTTCTACCTAAACTCTAGCCCTTATTACTACAAATTCGAAAACATGCCATACTTTCCACACCGGCACACAGGGCTAGAGCTCTGTGTGATCGGGACAGCCTTCATGTGGAGTTGGTGTTACTGTGAGACATTTTCAGGCAGAATGGCTACACCAACTGGCAGAATTGTAAGGCCCTCAACCCTCCCCTGAAGGTTGCCCAGCCTGACAAAAAGCCAGGGTGTTACCTTCCTGCCTTATGTCATGTTGGTATTCAATCTCATCATCAGGGTGCTTTCTCAGCACAACATCAAGTCTGTGGGCCTCCCCCCTGCAAAATATCTAGTTTCCTTCGGTCGGTCAAGGATGACCTAGAACTGAAGATGCTGGGAGTAGACAGTATCCCGTATGAGTGTCTACACTGGGCAGACAGGCTGTTCAATTGACACCAGGTTGAAGAAGCACCAGAACATATTTGTCTAGAACAGTGGTAGGCGAACCAGGGTAAAATACCCCAAGTGGGGTAAAAATGAAATTCTTGGGGGTAATGAGGACTCAATAGACATAAATGAAATTATATAAAAAACGCGTTCCTTGTTACAACAGAAATTTTTCTTCTGGCATATAACCATCCGTAACAACGGCTGCTACAGAAATTGTTTAAGAGTCCATCATGGCAGCATGACGTCATCACTAAACACTTCTATAGATAAACGCACCAAGCATGTTGTGGACGATAGCGTTAGTTGTGGCTCGGCAGCCAGCAGAAGCGCACATCTTGTATACGTCATTTTGGCCTAGTCACCTATTGTTTTATCTTATGCTCAAAAACTTCAACGATCAAGGTAAGATAGTGTCTTGTTAGCAAGGATTTACTATCAATAAATTCATTCTTTCATTATTTTATAAGCAAGAGAAATGAAGTTTTTCATGAAACCGACACACTATCATTTATGTGAAGTAGTAGCAGTTTGATCTTGTCACACTGAATCGGTAATTTCATGTTATAGTACATGTGCAACTAACCGCCAGAGCTATGGTGCGGCCTCCAGTACTGACTTACACATATTGTACATGCAGAGGTTTCCTCCATATTACGCGTGTCCTCATGTAACTATAAGAAACGCGTGTGCTGAAGGGTTAAAACTTTTTGAATCACTGTCTTTTTTACCCCTCAGATGACATCAACTAGAAAACGAATATACCAGGAAGAGTTCCTCAATTATGGGTTTACACAAATAGAAGACAAAGGAATAATGAAACCACAGTGTGTTGTCTGTTTGATAGTACTGACTGCAGAATCTTTCAAAAAGAGTCAATTGAAGAAACACTTGAATAATTTGCACCCACACCTGTCTTCCAAACCGTGGGAATACTTTGTAAATTTGGAAATGTGTGTCAAAAAACAAAGACTGAACAGCAACTTGAGAAGTACATTCGATCAACGTTCAGCATCAAAGGCCAGCTTTGAAGTGGCCTGGTTGATTGCCCGAAACAAGAAACCACATACTATTGGTGAGCAATTGGTTAAACAGCAGCTTTGAAAATGGCAGAGATTATGTGTGGTCAGAAAGAAGTTACGAAACTAAATTCAGTGCCCTTGTCTGCAAAAGTTGTGAAAGAAAGAATTTATATTTTAGCAGAAAATGTGATGGAACAAGTTATTTCTTCAATAAAAGAGAGTAAATGCTTTGCTATTCAGCTTGATGAAACTACAGATGTCAGTAATAATTCGCAGCTGATGGTGTATGTTCGCTACAAAGGTTTACATGCAATTGAAGAGGAGTTGTTGTTTTGTTCTCCCCTTGAGTTGCGATCTCATGGAATTGAGGTCTTCAATAAAATTAATGAATACTTTAATAACGCTAATTTAAAGTGGGAAGACTGCATTGCTTTGTCTTTTGATGGAGCTCCAGCTATGTTGGGTCATGTTAGTGGTTTCTTGGCTCTGGCGAGAGAAAAATCCAAAAATTGAAGTTAACCACTGTATGATCCATCGCCACGCACTGCTTGTGAAACGTTTGGAACCTGCACTGGGAGCCGTCATGCATGATGTTATCAACGTTGTCAATGTCATCAAATGACATGCACTAAACACGCAACTATTTCATGAATTATGTACAGATGGGGAGGCTGAATATACAGACCTACTTTATCATACAGAAGTGAGGTGGCTATCATGTGGAAATGTTCTGAACCGAGTGTGGGTTCTCAAAACTGAACTTGAAATTTGTATTGTTGATCAAAAGCTTGTTCTTGCAGATAAGTTTACAAACTCCTCATGGGCTGCACATCTCACATATTTAGCTGACATTTTTGAGTATGTGAATGCACTGAACAAAGAATTGCAAGGAAAAAACATCAATATAATTTCAGCCAGAGAAAAGATTTCAGTGTTTGGATCAAAGCTTTTATATTGGAGACAGAAAGCAGAACAAAACAAGATTGCTACCTTTTCAAGGTTGGCTTTGTTTTTGGAAGATTGTGAAAATATTACTTTTGATGACATCAAGGACACAGCTATAAGGCATCTTACCAAACTCAAAAAGCAGTTCGATGATTACTTTCCAGATCTTGATTCACATAATGTCAGTTGGGTTGTAGATCCCTTTAAATGTGAAATTGCTGATGTACCAGAAGAGCCTCAAGGTTTGGCAGAGGCACTTCTTGAACTTTGATCCAATAATGAAGCACGTATTGAATTTGAAAACAAAGCAGATCTGTCATATTTTTGGATGTCAAGAGCTGCAAATGCTTTCAAAATTGCACTTGAGGAGGCAGTCAAAAAGTTGCTGCCCTTTGCGAACAAGGATTTTCCACTCTACTGAACATAAAAACAAAGCAGAGAAATCGATTGGACCCCGAAGACAGTATGCAAATTGCTTTGACATCAAAATGTCCCAATTTTTATGTTACTGTATCAAAAATGAAACATCATTTCTCCAAAACATGAGGTGAAAAAAATTTTCTAAGAAATCCTTTTGTTTCATAATGAGGATATTAATTTACTCGTATTTTATCGCATTTATTTTATACTTTTTATATTTATAATTGTATTCTCCACATAAATAGATTCAATAAACCTTTTGAATTTGAATAATCTATGATTTTCTCTCTTTCAAATCAAGGGGGTAACGTCGGCATAAATAAATATATTTTGGGGTAATAAGTAAAAAAGTTCCCCGACCCCTGGTCTAGAACATCTGGTCAAGTCATCTGTGGTGGAGAACAGTATCAACTTGGGGCACCACATCCAGATACACCACACTACCATCCTATCCACCAAACTCATATACATGCACTACATAATTAGAGAAATGATGGAGACTGAGCTCTATCCCAACAGTACGAACAGAGAGGATAGCTTCTGTCTGAACAAGTCATGGAAACTCTCATCGGCTCCCTGAAAGACCACAGGAAGACTCCATGACATGACAGCAAATCCAGGTTCTCTGCAATGCCAAGCAGGTCTGGGCATACTGCTCTCATCTGGGCACAAGATATGCCATCTCTGGGCACTCACCTGACTCCACCCTTGTGTTCCAGCTTCCTTTTGCTACCTCCACTCCCTCATCCCCCACCTCATGCCTGCAACTCACTCACTTGACCTCTCTCACATATACACTGATACCCAGTCCAATATACCCTTACACTTTTTCACCTGTCTTTTTCCTAGACCAGCAAACCACCCATATTCAAGGACATCCTAAACTCCTATTCTTGTCTCCTATTGGTTTCCTTGATGGTCATGTGAGAGCCCAACAGTTTCATAGCCCCATGGAAAGCCACTGGGACCTGAGGTCCACACTTCCATTTCCCTCCTGCTTCCTATATAATCCAAAATTCTGGCCAGCCAAATACTCTGCTTGCCACCTGCTTTGACACTGCAATCCTGTTCAGCTTATATGACCCCGACATGGAGGTGATATGCTCCTCCAAAACATCACTTGACTTTCAATGGGCTACATGGCGTTATATCCCAGAAGATGGCACACTTCATAACCACCGCTGTGAGATCTCAAATCCTACATTCGGAATGATGTTGTCTGTAGCTGTACTCTGCCCCTCTAGGTTAATGCACCTTTCCCAATATTCACCACAGACATGATTTTACATGGAAGGGGTGGCCAAACTTACTTACATTTGAGCCTGATATGATATTAGAAAATTCCAGAGCTGCAGATATGTGATAGATGGCATACGTGTACAGATACATGCTTTCCATATAGAAGATTTTTATATGTAATCCATTCATGGAAATGAACTGACATATATTCTTTTCTATGAGCTGTACCAATTGTTCAAAGAGCAGGATTTGGCTCATGAGACACAGTTCAGTCATATCTGCTACACATTCAGAATTACTGGCAGCATCATCAGACTATAAACAAACAAATTCATGACATAGTCCTTGTCTCTAAGAATTGTAAGCATACACAAAAGCTGGAGGAAATATCAGAAATTAAATAATTTGCTTGATTTAAGGTTCTCGCAGTGATGATTAAGTACAGTTTCCTGGGTCATAAACCATAGAGTTCAGAGAGAGCCCAACATTTCAGAGAAACACAGTCTCTGTCTTCATGGTCGAGGAGAAAGCCAAGCAAGAAACCAGAAGAGCTGTGCCTGCTGCCTGCTTCTGCTAATTTCTTGCTTGGTTTACTCTTTGACCCTGCAGATGGAGGTGATACGCTCCTCTGAAATGGTGGGCTCTCACCCTACTACACGGAACTACAACCCAGAACACCATATTCTTCAAATAGTTTCTTTCTTTGTGCCAGCACAAATACATACAACAGAAGCCTATCCTCTGGCAAGGTTGGGTGCAGCATATCCTTCCTCTCTGCATCAACCAGCAAAATGATAGGGAAGGTGTTCACAGAAACTGAAGACCTCAGCAGAATTACCCAGTTTCTCTCCGTGTTGCAGTGGGCAATGTTTCTATTTCAGGTTCCGGTTCAGAACTAAGCAGCTCCACGGTGTACATGACTGTTACATCACATGGGATATCAGGCTCTCGGCCCTGAGAACCATATGCAAATCGTGGTCCCACTTCCAAAAGGGCCACTTCTCCAACATCCATAAGTGGTAAAGCAAGATCCAAGCCCTGAACCACCTTTCAAGTAAGACAAACATAACATCAGAAAAAGCTGGAAGCCATAATAACAAATTCTCAGCTGAGTTTAAAGGATTCTGACAATGATACGTGTAACAATTTGGGGCCTGCACAGATTCTGAACATCAAACGACCATGGCACCTAAAATTTTCAAGACAGTTCTTAGAATTTTCATCTTATTATTATTGGATGTTGGGATTCCCTTAAGTGTGAAAGAAGCATACTATTATTTATGTGTAAACATTTCAACTGTCTTTTTGTTAATAAAAATAAGAAAATTTCTTACCCAAAATATTCTGTTTTTTATTCTGGCTCCCTGACCAGATTTATAATAACTTATGCAGGCCCAATAATAAATATGCATAGTATTTTCAACACTGAAAGAAATCTCCGGAGGTTTTTCTAAAGAAAACATTATGGTAATTGAATTTATTTCCATTATCATGTGATGAGGAGGAGATTCTCTGGATCAGGAAGTGAGACTAGTTCCTTCTCATGAGCCCAAAGAAACAGAAATCCATGTCCATTTTAAAACCTTATCACCCAGTACCACATCTTCAATTTCCTACAATCAGTTCTAATAACATGGCAGATGTCTGAGCTTATGAAGGAGTAACGCTAGTGCCACTTATTTCAAGGTCCTGATATCATTTATGGTAACCGATCTTGGAAAAATTTGCAACTCATGCCAGAATTTTTTTTTTCAGGAAGGAAAATAACAATATGTCAGCCATGCAAGTATTTTCTTTCTTTTCTGGTTTGATGCGAATAAACACTGAACAACTGGAGACAGGAATGCGAAAGTTGGTATGGAGACAGATTATAAACATACCTATACAATCCATGTTAAACATGCTTTGTGATTCAACAATTAAAACATAGTAATGATGCAAACCTTAGGGTTACATCTAACAAATTTAACATGCACAAAATGTTTACCTGTGTAGTAAGTTCTTCATAAAAATGAAAGGTACTTTGGTATTAATGGTGACCCAAATAACACTAAAATTTACCATCATATTATCTGCCATGTTAGTAATGCTAAATAGAGAAGTTTATTTCTAAAAGCATAACCTTCAAACGCTTGTAGATGTTTATTTTTAAAAAAATAATCAAGCACCTAACCTTTTCAAAATGGAACCAAGGCCTAATGTTTTAAAAACAGAACTAAATGTCTAACCTTGTGGATTCAATGTTGAGGCAAACACTTAGGTCAGGCTTTGGGTCTTGTTTTTACAAATTAACTTCAAAGGTTGGCAGCATTAATTTTGCATACAACTTCGAAATAAAATTCTAAGCTAACAGGTTCATTCATAAACATGTAAGTATCAACCAGAATGACAATAACGACCATAATAAACCTAAGAGGACTAAAAATCTATGAAAAAGGAAGGATACATGAGTTCCGCTTTGAACTGCTGCTGCTATATTTGAAAATATCACCTTCAAGCTGGCATTTCCTTTGCACTGGATATAATAATTATATCATTACGACTCACCCCTCTTAAATTTAGCAGTGGCATTTCCCACACAATAGACAAAATGGTTATACATGCTTCTATATGTTACACTTACCTCTGCATCACCAATCTGAATACTAAGATGATCATGCTTATCAATTATAGTGCCGTCCGGTAGTGAACCTTGTAAATTAATTTCACATATATGTGAGCGCTGGGGTCTGTAACCATTTTCTGCACGTTTCAGTACCTGTGAATAATTACATTAGAAATTAACACACAAATGAGATTCACACTGGACTTGAGATTCTCATGGTAGTCACTATGAAGAATACTGCCTTCTGGGATGACGTGTAGTCTGCCAAAAGTTCAGTGATGTTTCGGAGAAATATACTGCCTATAACTCAAGGGTAAAAGAGTACACCAAGAAAGCAACCAGCAAGAAACAAGTAGCAAGCAAAAGCGCCACATCCAACGAAGTTATGATAAACATAATTACTAAGTTATAACCAATTAACCTGTCAGATTACACTGTTCCGTTACCTGGTATGTGGCACATTCACAACAAACAGTATGACAACAGAAAGAGATAAATATTGAGCAATGAATTGTAGAAAGAGCCATAAAAAAGGTGATAGAACAGTAATCCACCTTTCTCTGGTGACCAGAATACATATCTCACTACCAGATTTTCATAAATGTTTTTAACTTCTGTCTGGTATAGTAACAGTACAATGGACAAGGACCTGACCATGGTTTTTTGTTGTCTTCTTTAGTTTTTCCAGCTAAATGATCAGACAGTAACCACAGACATCAACAACTACTTTCCTCATTCCTTCCATAATCAGAACTCCAGTTCATTGAAGGTACACACCTTCAGTTGATACACCATCCCCAAGTAACTTCTCGAGTAGTCTGACTCATCACGCAACCTCCTAATTTTGTTGAACAACCTACTTACTAGCTGATGTGACCTGAATGAGATTTAAACTACATACATCCCAAATAAAACTTCATGTCTTACACTGAGCTTATCTCTGTATCTATGGTTCCTCCAATGACACTTTTAGTAGCAAACTATACAATGGCAAATAATTAATTGGGAAAGATGCGGAAGCATGGCTTTCTGTCATTGCTGAAGGGGATATCATGACAAACTTCAGACATAGTACTTGTGTCCCAGTCAAGATCTGAACCTAGGACACACTGAAAGAGCAGCACAAGTCCTACCCAATCAACTATCACAGACAATTAAAAGTGTATTAAAAGTAACTATATAATGTCACAGAAGAAGGTGCAGTAAACTGGATGACAAATGTTACTGCCCAAAACAACGAAAACTGTACATAAACATGAGTCCAGAAATGCTCTGGTAATGAACTAGGGCCATTCGAAGGTATTCCCAGAAAGAGTAGGATAGTAACATTTGTAATACAAATGCTATTAGTATCAAATTACTTCTGTCCATGAAATAATGTGACTGACTAAAATGTTTTACAAGCCAAAGTGGTCACTGTGCCATTCCAGTGACAATGTAACAACTGTCCTTACTGTTACAATAAATGTTCAAAATGTTGATCTTGCACCATTACACAAGCTCTGGCCTATGATGTATGGACTGACAGACGTGCTGAAAAACGCCAGTAGCTAGCCATGATACTTGTCCCTGTCATCCTACCCATCACCCAGTGTAGGTAGTCTTGACATAATTTCTGGAAGTGTCATTGAAATGGACTGGGGCACTGTCATCCATGAAAAGTTTCATGAAAATCCATCAGGACAGTGTCCGATAACGATGCTCCAAAAATTACAGCAAGCAATGCCACCGAGTCTATGAGGCAAAACATACAGGCCTATTAAACAGCCTCCAACAACACCAACCCAAATATTATCTGAAAACTGCTGTCAACATCTGGATTGCATTGTACTATGTGGGTTCATGTCACTCCAAATGTGTATGCTATAGAAATTTAGTATACTATTCCTTGTGAAGACTGTTTCACTAGTGAAGAGTATGAGGCTACTAAAGAAGGGACCTTTACTACATTATCAAAGAAACCACTGTCAAAATTCTTTGTGGGGGTTAAAATCCATTGCAAATGGTACTCATAAACTGATCATGGAGAACCCATCACATGTTTGGCAGCTTGCATTTGACAAACACTGGTACATGGATTATCTCTGCTTGTCTAAGTGTGCACTCTTCCAAATCAATTACATATGGACATATGGTCTACCACACAAGGGCAAACAGTACCAGTCTCACTGATACAATAGTAAATGGCATGAAATATGTGGGTTAAGAAATCTACATTGAGGTTACATTTCCACATACAACCCTGCAGCTGCTTCACCATCACCAAGGGCTTTGCTGAGAATTAAATGCATATTGGCATATTCTCACAATTTGCAGTTGTCCATTTTGAGAACAGGCAAGACAATTCAAGAACAGCACTTGACAGTATGTACAGTTCAGCAGAATTGAATACCTGATGTCACATGCTAGTTATAGGGTCAATATACTTCACTGGTGAATAGGGAAGGTGGTAGTGATAGCTACTTCTGTAATCAAAGTCCTACTCTGTCTGAATGACTCCAGTTCATTGCTGAAGCATTTCCAACCCCATACTTATATGAACAGTTTCCACTCCTTTCATCCATTGCACTCACCCTCCAATTTACATCACTTACTTCTTGAACACTGTGTATTTAGCACAGTACTCACTTTCTTCTTGAGCTGCCCACTGCCTAAGATATCAAGCCATTCTTCTTCTTCTTTACCCTTGTCAACACTTTCATGTGTGTCTCCATTTGTTGATCTTGTGCTTTGGGTATTATCAGACACACTAACTTCTGCTTCTATTTCTGACAAATTGGCTTCTAGATTTGAGTCATTTTCAACCACAACACCACTTCCACTCTGCTCTGTCACTGATGGTCCAGAATTCTCAAGCTGCTTCAATTCTTCATTCGGAGAATGAATTGAGCTGATACAATTGGTGTAATTAGCCATATCTGCGCTCATTTTCTTGGGATTCCTGTTTAGAAAACGTGCAAAAATGTTCATTAAACATGTAAATGACTAAGCAAGATAATTTTAATTTACTGTGACAGAGAACACAAGAACACGATCAACAGGTAACACATTACATAATGAATATTAAAACAAATTAACAAAAGACAGTTTTTACAATTCTACCACATATATCAGCACTTTCCACAGGTTAAAAGTATGTGGTTTCATAATATTCAGTTTTCTATGGCAAAATTTAACTGCCTCACTTCCCGTTCACATTATTATTTTTACCAGCTGCGATGACGGCGGTATACATTCACATAACAGTATCGAATACTCTTCTTGTAGCTCCATTTTATTCGATACCGAAGATACAAAGTCTAGATGGAAAAGGCGTTGCTGGTTAAAAAAAAAATCCAGTAAAACTAGAGGGGCTATTGTATGTTTCTGTATTTCTCAACTGCTTCCTTTATGTAACTATTATAGTCGATAAACTACTATTACGCTTAGTCATCCTGAGTACAGGTTTAACCCCGGCAACCTCTTTAAGCTGTATCGAACTACTGTAACAATTAAAAATCTGAGCCTGATTCTAGTAAATATCACGTTTCAGTTTAACATTTTAACACAACGACAGGCACCTACAACAACATACTACCTATATCAACCAAAATTTAATTAAAATCTTTCATACTGCTATAAAACAGTTCCAACAATTCCGGCTGTAAATTTCGCAGATAATTTCCCCACTTCACACATTAAGTTATTTCCTTCATCTCGGTTCCGTTTCCCTCACGCATATTTAACCTACAAAGCTTGCCAATACTACGATCCAGAAATTCCTAACTGGGTTAGTAAAATTTAATTTCATAAACTCTTCCTCGCCGATATCAAATGGTGTATTCAATGGTGGCATTGAAATAACTAAGTTGTGTACTGGAGTTTTATGCAACTAGTTCATCGTTAAAACTGTATTTTCATCCTTCAGAGATTCGTTGCTTACCTTCAGCACTGACTAAATGTAGTTATTCAAAGAAAAGAGAAGCGGGTAAATTCATTTAATTGCATGTCTATGTAAACGGTATGGATTGGATTGATCTGGCTCAGGATAGGGACCAGTGAAGGGCTCTTGTGAAGACGGTAATGAACCTTCGGGCACCATAAAATGCTGGAAAATTCTTGAGTAGCTGCAGATTTGGCTTCTCCTCAAGAAGGGCTCAGCTCCATAAGTAAGTTAAGTAAAGTAAGTAAGTCTATGTAAACTTAGAAATTGATTCAACTAGGTTGAGAACGTGCGAGAAGGCACTAAGGGACTAAGTCCCTTGTACTGTGGCTACTTCTGGCCTATTGTACCAGCCCCAGATGATAAGTGAGGGTGATTGTGGAGCAATTGGTGGAATGAAGATTGACAGGGGAAACCGAAGTACTCGGAGAAAACCTGCCCTAGCGCCACGTTGTCCACCACAAATCCCACTTGACCAGACCCGGGATCGAACCCGGGCCGCCGCGGTGGGAAACCAGCGACTAACCGCTTGAGCTATGGCGCGGCCTTGACAACCTTACTAGCAGTACATTTTCAGATTAGCAGCACAACGTAGTCCGTTTTATGATGGTTTACGTATTTCATGCTTTTGAAGTATTCAGAATCTATTACACTGGCGTCAAATGAGACGTAGGTGACCTTAAACATGCTGTTGGATTGTTGGTGCTTGAAGAGACAACCACGTATTAAACATCTATACAGATATTTATTGTTACTACGTATAATGGGAATACAGACGAGCTTCATACAACAACTAAAACACACCCCCAATATTCCAGTCTGTTGTGCTTTAGATATTCGTTGCTTGGCAGCTGTTGTGCCCCAATTTCAAGACTGAAAATCGAAAGACATTGCCTATATATTTCAAGACTTGCGAAAAGCGTTTTACAGCAATCGAGCAAAGATGACAACACATGGACTAGGGATCTAGGTTAAGAATGTTGATGATCAGCATTTATGCATAATCGCATAAATAGAAAGCTCCGCTAACTGGGCCACTGGAGTATAATAATATTATCAAATACGCAGCAACGAGGTACCACGGACCTGCCCACCACCGTAGGGGTAGCCAATGTAATGTGGTTTGTTTACGTTCGCGTGTGTGAGGATGGTGATTCACACGCTAACTCAGGATCGCTCAGGATGTTAAGGAATGTGTCGCTACGTCTGGAGACGTAGAAGGTAACGTGTTGTTTTGCTGCCACCACTTGATGATACTGCACCAAGACAGGTGCGATGTTGATGCACGTGGAACAGGTAGGGTGCACTGGCCAGGTGCGATGTTGAACTCTGCCTGTTGATCTAGTAGCGGGTTGTGAACCGAAGCGTTGGGCGTGCAGGCTAAGCGAAATCTCCTTGAAGATTCGGATGTGTGAAATAAGGTAGACGACACGAACTTGTGAGGTGAAACCAAACACTTTACTTGTTCAAGATATGAAATAAGTATAAAACAGGAATCAAACCCCTGACTTTACGAGAGCAGTGTGCTCCCAAACGCACAGTGCGTGCTGCACTAGCTTAATGGTTTTTACATCACAACAACCTCGAATGGTTACAATGCCAGCCCTTATATAGTATTGTCTTCGGGCGTGGCAAAATCATGTGACTTCATAGCGTCCATCTCCTTATAAGGAGATCTAGGGGCCTGGGTGGTCCCTGTATATTACAGTTAATTCTCAGAACCATAACGTCATCCTCAGTGCCGTGTGCAGCTAAGATGACTTCATTTTCAAGTTGCGAAATATCTGTTTATGTTAGGCTTAATTTGCCGTTCTATGCTATGTATCTAGGGTATCTCACAGTATTATAAGCCTAATTAATGTGAGGAAACATCATTAAATCTTATAAAATACAATATGTGGTGACGTCACTTGACATACCAGCTTTACCACATTACACCCTCCACCCCGAAATTTATGACAAAGGGAGTAGTTAACCTCCCTCTTTCGCCAACTGCAGTGTCATTAAAATTAGTATATAAAAATGGAAAGAAAACTGATCTGATCGAAAAAAAAAACGTAATATCCAGTAGTCAGCCGGAGGCTCTTTCGATATGGATCTTACAAGTGGAGGTGTCGCTGCGTCTCTCATCGCAAGTAAGTCTCTTTACTCATACTAGCCAAGCTGTTAAACTTTATCGTTGTTGGTAAAGCGTTGGTTGGTAAATGTGAAAGCAATGTCCAGTGTGCCCAGCGAGCCCTCATGGTAGAATGATAGAAATCATGTAACAAGTAATTGCCTAGGATGTTAGTCCGGCAATATGGCCGTCGTTATAGTATGTGTTGTTATTACTGGTAGTGCGCAGAGCACGCATATTTGTTGTTCATAGTGGCGACCATGGATTTTGGGATAAATATACGAAGGCTCTTAGTAGGCATAACTCTAGGGGTAAAATATCTTAAGGGTGAAGTATTATGATAGAATAGTGTAGAATTGTGTAATGAGTAGTAGGAAATTGAGACAGGAAAAATGGTTCACGTCGAACGATGAATGTTTGCATATCTTCAGTAGTCGAAACAGAAGAGAGAGAGAGAGAGAGACAGAGAGACTCAAGTTTTACACCCCAGAAGGGGAGATTCATAGCGTAGTAACGTAAAGACACTATGTAGTCCCGACTGAAAGTCGGCCTTGTTAATACTGTAAATAGGATTGTAAATAAGAGTGTAGATAGACAGGGTAATTAGAGTAGGATGTACCTGGATTGTGATTTACTTCCCGAAACAACCCGTCCCCGACCGATCCCGAGGATCCTAGCCCAAACGAAAGGCAGAACAGTCCCCCCAGGCAACAGCAGCCGAATGCAACGACAGTTAAGGGTGAGGGGCGAGAAGTGGACAGGGATAGTCTGCTCGCCTGCCACGCAGGCAGCGCTTAGTAGCCTTTATATCAACTCCCCGCTTAAGACGTAATAAGTGGTAACAGTGGCGGGCTACCTCCACCCAACCCCGTCACTAAGACATGATTTGTGAAAGCCGTGAGATATCCGATCCACCCCTGTCGTAGAGGATAATATATGGAGTGACAGTCGATAGGTAGAGGCGGGTCAGCCCCGACACGCACGCTCTACGCCAATAATAAGAGGTGACAGTGATGTAAGTGCCTGCCAACAGAGAATGCTCGACCACCGCGCTACCGGCCCTTAGTACTTTCATCACCCCTTCGTAAGATGTAATAGATGGTGACAGCTGTATGCAACGAAGGAAGCCCAGAACCAGGAGAATCCTAGTTGAGGGTAATCTAGGATTATTGTGTTAACCCCTTGCGGCGTAAGATGTGGTGGCAAGGAGGGATACTCCAAGCCCCCTGCCACCACGGCATAATAGTAGGCCTTCGGACAATGAAAATTCCACCGCTTCTGAACTCCTCTTCTCGGCTTATATTTCTGAGTCTGAGTCTTGTGTCACGGACGTCACTACAGACGGTCAGTCAGCCAGTCTGCCTTGGAACAAAGCCCCCATATGGGGCTTACTACCAGATTTTTATTAATATCAGACAGTCGCGGGTTTGTGGATGTGGGGCGTTCTCTCTGACGGGAGGACGGGTCTGTCATTTACAATTACTGCTGGTACTCGCCAGCGCAGTCATTCTCGGGTCCGTGACTCGTGGAACTCACTACCATATCGTAACGTGTTTGGAGTAGATACTTCCATGGTAACGCAATAACAGTGGGCGTTGCGTAGGAATTGCAGAATCAACGAAGCAGCGTTTCCCCGGAGATGAACAACAGAAGGCCGTTGAGTAACAACGGATGAGACGAAACTCGTTACCAGCGTACAAAGAGCGTTCCCGAAGCAACGGATAGCCGAACACGTGAGATCGAACCTTGGCGAGGGGTGTCCTCTACAGAGTCCGCGGAACACCTACATAATCCGAGAGCCACAGACAGCAACACACAGTTGGAACCTAGTTCCCATACAAGACAGTTGAAAGATAGCCGCCGCAGAATACAGTTGAAGTGATAGTAATGGTAAGGTGTGCAAGATTTCATTAATTCATCAGTAATCTGTCAGACGACAGGTCCACAGTTCCTTCACTTTATGCGATCTCAAGATTTCTTCTTCAATTAAAATATTCTCTTCTGTCCCCAAGGTCATCCGGCATCTTCTTCCTCGTCTTCTGGGCACTTCTATCCGCCCCTGCGGTTTGTTTTGTCTCCAGAGGAAACATCTCGCATACATGGTATCTCTGTTTTTGGAAAGAGACTATCCAGGAAAAGTGATAATGTGGTAGTTTTTCCATTTCCTTTCCACATCGCAGTACAACAGCCGTTGTACGATACGGGGGCTATACCAGTGTTACTGTATCACACACTCCCAATTACTTCTCCTGTGAGCCAAGCATCTGATTCTCACGCTATCACTTCCATCACACGTTCCGGTATTATTCTTTCAGCTACAGCTGAACTCGGCCTCTGTGCCAATTCAACTGTATCCGGCGACGGCTACATTTCAACTGTGTCACTCCTGATCACACACTGCTAACTACTAACTGATCACTCACTCACTTCTAACTCGTGTCAGATTTAGTGTCCAATAAAGATTCGCTATATCCGAGACCCACGCGAAGTTACGAGTATTTGTCGCGTGACATACCAAACGCGTGACAATATTTTATTATTTCAGATTCGAGAATTCCCTTTTCGTCGCCTACTACGACTCGCAGGGCCACGGTGGAGGTATTCGACCACGCCTCCGCACGTGATCTCAGTAAGACACACAGCATCACGCTTTCATAACCTACCATTATGCAGAGTATTACATTATATTTTATTTTTACACTAGCTGTACCCGGCCACGCGTTGCTGTGGCTCAGTCTAACGAAATATTTCGATTCAAACGCAGATCAATCGACACAGCTCAATCCCACCGCCAACTGCACTGAAAAATAAGGAGAACAGTTAAGAAAATGAAATGAAAAAAAAAGAAAATAAAGCTGGACTATTTATACCTCGGCGGATGCTATACAATGAGCCTTATGTTGTCTATCACATGGGAAACGCTGCCAGAGTCGAATCCAAAACTTTAGGTGCAAACTCAGGATCTCTGTTGTGATTTCACTCAGAATC